TGTCGTCTGTTTTTGCAAGATAGATCAGCGGCAGCGATCCAACGAGACGCAACACCGATACACCAACCGTCACCGGCGACACATCCAAAGATCTCCCCACGCAGCAAACCAGCATCGGAATAAAATTTCGAAACGACCCCCAACATGGCTATCTCGTTGTCCTCCCGTACTACATACATACACACACGACCAACACGGCTACCCTCTGTCCTCCGAACGCATGTATGCATGTATTGGGCGACCACCTCCCCGCCCCCCGCGAAAAACAAACTCACCGCCGTCGCCGTCGGCGTGAAGCGGAACGTAGGAATCACCAGGCTAGGACCCGCGACACCGTCCTCTTCTGCAGCCGCCGGCGCCGCTCCCGCCACCATCCCGCCACTACCTGCTGCCGACCCATCCCCGGCGGCGCTAGCACCTGCCGCCGCCGATCTGGGGTCACCGGTAGACACTCCGCTAGGGCCTCGGGAAGAGGTAGAGGTAGGGCCAACGCCGCCTCTCTCATTGGAGCTTGCGGCCACGCTTCCACCGTTGCTGCGAGCACCGCCGCCGCTTCCGGCCCCGCCGCTGCCGCCGCCGCTGCCGCCGCTGCCGCAGGTTGCGGCGGCGCGGTCAGAAGGCGCGGCGGCAGAGGCGGAGGCACCGTTGTTTGCCGAAGCACCCGCCCCCGCCGCGGTGTTAGTTTCGTGTGAGTGTTCGTGTCCGCATGTTGGTTCCTCGGCCTCTTCCTCCTTGTCGTCCTCGGACCCTTCCCGCCTGGCCTTCTTCTTGCCCTTACCGCTACCGCTACCGCTGCTGCCGCTGCTGCTACCGCCCCCTTCGCTCGCTGCGGCAGGCCCTCCTTCTGCTGCACCGGCGCCAGCGTCTCCGCTGCTGTTGTCAGCAGCAGAAGAAGCGTCGATTGCCATGGCCTCTTCCACCTCGCTCAGAGTCTGAAGCTCCATCATCTCCGACCTGGGGGGGGGGGGGGGGGGGGGGGGGGAACCGGGGCGGGAAACGGGTAACCCCCGGGTTAAACCGGGGGATTTTTTAATTGGGGAGATTCCCCCCGTCCAAAAAAGCCCCTTCCCAAAGAAAAAAAAACCAAAACACCCCGAGGGTGTTCCTTTTTTCCCCCGGTGTTCGGTCCCAAAA